ATTAAAGCTGACAGTCTGCAGTTAAAGCACATCTTGTTCGTTTCATTTCAAATCCATTGTGGTGGTGTATAGAGCCAAAAATGTTAGAATTGTGTCGATGTCCCAATATTTATGGACCTGACTGTATATATATATTAATATATATATATATGATTTAGCATTTTAGGGTAGGGGGCGCACACGCACGCGGCCCTATCCATGCTGCCCTTGGAGGCTACAGCTGTCAATCACTGAGTCCCAGTTGGAGATTTCCCGACGGCACCCAGCGATTGCCGAAGAACACTTGACAGGGGAGAGGTCTGTATGTAAACAATACAGATCTCTCTTCTGTCAGCTCCAGCATGCTGTTTTGTTTTGCTCTACATAGCAGATCAAAACAAAGCAACATGCTTACACAGTAAATCACACACAGCACACACAGTAAAACAGCACACTGCACACAGTTAACCATTTGATTGCCCCAGAATTAAACCCCTTCCTGCCCAGTGTCATTAGTACGGTGTCAGTGCTTTTTTATTAGCACTAATCACTGTATTAGTGTTACTCGGGTTGTCAATGGCAGTCAATTTCCCCCCCAGTGTCAGCATGCTGGTCGCCGCCATTAATAGTATATATATATATATTTTTTTTTTTTTTAAATTCCGGTATTGGAATTTTTTTTAGCAAAGACATATAGAAGAATACATTTTGGCATAAATTTATGAAATTTTTTTTTATTTTTTTTTATTGAATGTTTTATAGCAAAACAAAAATATTGTTCAATTTTTTTTCAAAATTATTAGTATTTTTTTTTTATAGCATAAAAAAATAACAAAATGCAGAGGCGATAAAATACCACCGAAAGAAAGCTCAATTTGTGGGAAAAAAAGGACATCCATTTAATTTGGGTGCAGCATTTCATGACCATGCAATCGTTAGTTAAAGTAACGCAGTGCCGTATCGCAACAAATGGCCTGGTCAGAAAGGGGGGTAAATCCACTGGAGGGCAGGTGGTTATAGATCACCTTTAGATTTCCAAAAATTTAACCAAAATATACAAGTATATGTGCTACAGAACATAGGCTTCATTCACACTTGGGGTTTCTACAATGCATAACAAAATGCACAGAAAACTCATGTTTTGCTGTGCATTTCAGAAATGCAATACAAACACGCATCACGCTTGTGGTACCATTAATTGTTGATGGCACCCCCCAAGTGTGGGTAGCAGGTGTGCATTTTTTGCATGGCAAATGCACTACAAGCGCACTAAAACATGATAAAAGAACACGCCACACTCTTTTCTCTAAAAGAGGTTTTGGAGCTTCTTTGGGGCATTTGTCTCACATTAAAGTGAATGGGCTGCCCTATGCATGACAAGTGGAAATGCAGAAGAAAATTCCAAAAAAATGCAAATAAAGAAAAATGTGGCCCACTCAGGGGAGGTAAAGAGAGTTTCTTTTTATATCTTATTAATCTTGTGCATTGCTTGGCTTTGGCACTTGTTTAGACTGTAATATAGGAGCTATTAGTTGTACTTTAAACAGTCACTCTGTCTCCTGGTTTGATCAAATGTCACACACAAGTCCAAAGTTTACATTTCATATCTACTTTCTGCCATTGGTTTGGTTTTCAGTCTGTTCTAGAAGGTCCTTGTTGATTCAATTTTTCTCTTTTTTATTTATGTGTTCCAGGTATTCCCTTTGCATAGGCTATGTTAAATAACATTTAATTACCAGTGTTTCATTTTACATTAGGCAAGCAATTTGTTTTTAGATTTTGTTTTGACATGGCAAGATGGATTTTTATGAACATAGGATTTACTATACTTAACAAAGAACTCTACTAAACACAGTTAACATTTAGGATGACAATAGAAGTTAACCCCAGAGCAATTTTAGGAAAACTACATCCCTTTCTATGAAACAAACAAAAAGCATACTTACTATTTTTGGATCACTATGTGGTTTATTTACTAAAATTGTAGGTGTGCATGGTAGCCAATCAGCTTCTAACTTCAGCTTGTTCAATTAAGCTGTGACAAGCTGATGGGTTTCTATGCACAGCTGCATCAGATTTTGCACTCTCCAGTTTTAGTAAATCAAACCCACTGTCTCTAGCAGTCATACACATATGGAAGAAATAAACATGTAGCTACTCTTGCTCCTCATAGTACGGACAATCACGGGCTGTGTCCCAGTGAGGTAACAGACAACAAATTATTATGGGTACCTAGATTAGAAAATTAACTAATGTGCATAGTAGCAGCCATTCCAGCTGCAAGAAATGAGATGGAATTTTATATGTTTTATTTAGAGACCTAAATGACATTGCCATTAGAAACCAGAGAATATTTCTCATTTAGACTGCAAGACACTGATATTTTTTTATTTATAATTTAAACTGCAGTTCTTGTTTAAATGGCAAAGTTTTACTTTAAGCGAGAGGGCAAATTCACACTTAAGCTTTCTGTTGCAGTGCAACGATGCATGCAAATTTGTTGAATTAAAGTGAAACTACATGATATTCTTATTCTCTAAAAATAATCCATACACATTCATTACGTAATGGCCATGAAATAATTGCTTACCATGTATTTCTGTCTCCTTCTTTTTCTCCCAAACCCCTTCACTTTCATTTGTTTGGAACAAGCAGTGCATTTTAGTTGCAGTCCTGTGCACTATGCACACTACAAATCCCATAGTACATACCAGGAACAAATAATGGAGGATTTATTTATTTATTACAGGTACTTATATAGCACCGGCAATTTATGCAGCACTTTACATGTATATATGTATATATATATATATTATATATATATATATATATATATATTGTAATTCACATCAGTCCCTAACCCTCAAGGGGTGCACGATCTAAGGTCCCTAACTCACATTCATACATACATATACTAGGATCAATTTAGACAGGAACCAGTTAACCTACCAGCATGTCTTTGGAGTGTGGGAAGACACCAGAGTATGTGGAGGAAACCCACGCAGGCACAGGGAGAACACACAAGCTCCAAGAAGGTGGTGCCATGGTTGGGATTCAAACCAACAACTCTAGTACTGCCAGGTGGAAGTGCTAACCATTTAGTCACTGTGCTGAGGATGACTATGCTCCTACATACAGTGGGACCATGGAGAATGAACACCTAACAGGAAAGCAGATCACAACAAAAAAGAGGAATTTAGACATTTGGACAAGGCTGAGAGAACTAGACAGTACTTTTTTTTAGCTAAAAATGCATAATTGGAGAGGATTTTCATTTTTTAAACCAGAGTTTATTTGTCATATTTAGGCATTCATTATGAAAAGACGTGCAACACACCATAATGGATGGAAAAACATCCCTAGCCCTTTTTAAATGCAAATGGACCCTCAGATTTACAGCTATTTATTACCTCTCGGAGTTCACTGTACTCCCCCTGACTATTCTTTCTGGAGTTCTGATCAGGATGAAGTCTCCTTCCTGGACTAAGATGCTAGCTCACAGATCAGTGTTTTTCAACCAATTTTATTTTTAGCCACGGCACCTTTTAAAAGTATGTAAAATCTCAAGAAACTCCAGTCTAAAATATTGCATTAGATTATACACTCGCCGGCCACTTTATTAGGTACAGCTGTTCAATTGCTTGGTAACACAAATTGCTAATCAGCCAATCACATGGCAGCAACTCAGTGCATTTAGGCATCTAGAAGCGGTGAAGATGTCAAGTTCAAACCGAGCATCAGAATGGGGAAGAAGGGGGATTTAAGTAACTTTGGGGCATGGTTGTCGGTGCAAGACAGGCTGATCTGAGTATTTCAAAAACTGCTGATCTACTGGGAGTTTCATGCACAAACATCTCTAGGGTTTACAGAGAATGTTCCAAAAAAGAGAAAATATCCAGTGAGTGTCAGTTGAGTGAAAATGTTTTGTTGATGTCAGAGGAGAATGAGCAGACTGGTTCAAGATGACAGGAACGCAACAGTAACTCATGTCAACATGGACCTTAATTTCTGAGGAATGTTTCCAACAACCTTTAATGAATCTATGCCATGAAGAATTAAGGCAGTTCGGAAGGTAAAGGGGGTCCAACCCAGCACTAGCAATATGTACCTAATAAAGTGACCGGTGAGTGTAAATTCTCATATTAGAGGCCCTCCATCACATGAAAACCCCACACTTCATGTCACAGGGTCCCACCATCAGGTCAGAGTCACAACTGTATGTCAGATGTCCCCCATCACAGCATAGCATACCCTTATACATCAGGGGCCATCTGTATATGACTCCCCCATCACATGAGTGCCCCCAATCACAGTCTCCCATCAGAAAGCCCCCACAGTTCACACTTCACATCAGAGACCTACATTTTGGATTCAGCAGTGTGGCAGAGGGTGGGAGGCTGACCCACCTGAGCCATGGCAATTTGTGGCACTGGTACAGGATAAAAACTGGGTCCTATACTCATGGCACAATGAGGTAACCCAGCCACAGAGATGTCATATAAATTCTGGTGCCTATACAGTTCTGGCCTTTGTTCACAAGTGTCTGCGAAAGGTCAGCCACTTCTGCAGTCCCTTACCTTGCGAATTGCTACAAAGTACAATGTTGCAGTCTGATCAGTGGAGAAGACGAGACTAAGGTGAGGCCTCCTCCTGCCTGCTTTTTAATCCATCTCCTGCCCGCCATATAGTAATATGATGGACTCAAGGCGGTTCTCTCGTTCTGGGAGGACATATGACGTCCTCCCATTCTAACCGTGCATGCGTGGCTCCCGATCAATCAGCGGTGCGCTGTGTCCCTCGGACACAGCGGATCACCGATCCACGGAAAGAGCCGGAGATGTCTGCTCGGTCATGTGATCAGCTGTGTCCGATCAAAGCTGATCACATGTAAACAGGGAAATGCCAGTTATCAGCATTTCTCTCCCCACGAGCTGTCACGCTGACAGCTCATGAGGAAAGGAGAGCCGGTAATCGTCATTCCTCAGAAGGGACATGTACACAGATCATCAGAGCACTGATGATCAGTGTGCCCTGATGATCTCTGTAGCCCCAGCAGCAGCACCTGTCAGTGTCCATCAGTGCCAGCTCTCAGTGCCCATCCATGTCACCTGCCAGTGCCCATCAGTGCCACTTTTCAGTGCCACATAAGTGGCACATATCAGTGCTCATCTGAGCTGCCTTTCAGTGTCACCCATCAGTGCCAGTCAGTGCCACCTATCAATGCCAGTCACTGCCACTTATCAGTGCCGACTATCAGTGCCCATCAGTGCTGCCTATTAGTGCCGCCTAACAGTGCCAGTCAGTGCCACCTAACAGTGCCAGTCAGTGCCACCTATCTGTGCCAACTATCAGTGCCCATCAGTGCTGCCTATTAGTGATGCCTAACAGTGCCAGTCAGTGCCACCTAACAGTGCCAGTCAGTGCCGCCTATCAGTGCCATATATGAGTGCTGCCTATCAGTGATGCATTTCAATGTCCATCAGTGCCACCTACCAGTGCCTCCTCATCAGTGCCACCTATCAGTGTCCATCAGTGCAGCCTATCAGTGCCCATCACTACAGCCTCATAACGCGCATCAGTGAAGGAGAAAAATCACTTATTAACAAAATTTTATAACAAAAAAACATTTTTTTTTTTCAAAATTGTCAGTGGTTTTTGGTTTGTTTAAGAAAAAATAAAAAAACCCAGAGGTGATTAAATACCACCAAAATAAAGCTATATCTGTCACAAAAAAAATGATAAAAATTTCATATAGGTACAGTGTTGCATGACTGCGCAATTGTCATTCAAAGTGCAACAGCGCTGAAAGCTGGAAATTGGCCTGGGCAGGAAGTGCCCTGTAGGCTAGTGGTTAAATAAATGGTACATTTTTTTAAATGATACCGTTACCATATATTGTCACATCAGGAATTTATTCATGCAGACTTGTGGCGTCACTGAAAGGTCCACTTAAAGGCCATCTGGCTCTGTGATTGGTTGCTTTTGTACATTACGTTTAGCTGGGGTAGAGAATTCTTCACATTTTTTCAATGCCCCAAAATCATTGTTGTTTTTCCACCTAAAGCTTTTATTTCCCATAATGTAGTTTTGTCCTCTCACTTCCTGTTCCTGTGTCCAGGGAGAGGAGCTTGACCTTGGCAGAAGTGTTTCTTGGGCTCTTCTTGCTTGAAAGTGATTTTACAGAAAAGATGAATTATGGGTCACACCAGATTGCTGAAGACATACAGACGTTGTTCAGAGGTGGAGATATTGGGGTTGATTTACTAAAGGCAAATAGACTGTGCACCTTGGAAAGTGCAGTTACACTTTGTAAGTGCAGTTGCTCCAGAGCTTAGTAAATATAAGGTAAAGCTTCACTTTGTAAAAAATACCCAATCACGTGCAAGGAAAATTAAAAAAAACAGCATTTTTGCTTGCACATGATTAGATAACGGAAGTCAGCAGAGCTTCTGCTGATTTACTCTGAAGCAACTGCTGCTGCAGAGTGCAACTGCACTTTGCAAAGTGCACAGTCTGTTTGCCTTTAGTAAATCAACCCCATCACTTGACCTCCCAGCATACCTCTATTGGCTACTTTGTCATCTTGGAGGACATGGGTAGCCATTCTACAATTTCACTTCGGTGTCGGTGGCAACCTTTCATCATTTATTGGAAGACCATGCCTGAGAAGAATGGCAAACAGCAAACCTAATTTGTGGGAAAAAAATTCTAAGTTTTGGTAGAAGACTAACTTAGGGCATCAGATGGAAAACAGGTGCTTCTGATTAAGCCACCCAAATTGGGATTCCCCTACATCAAGTATCGTATTTCTCATTAGTTTTGCTGGGAATCTGTGATGCCAACATACAATTGACGGTGGGGAATGTTGATGCAGTTGCCCATAGCAAACAATCAGCATCTAGCTTTCAGTCTGAAAACATCAGTGAGAACTTGAAAGCTAGAATTTGGTTGCCAGTCTTTGTTTTCTTCCCAAATGTTTCTACTTATCTGCTAACAGTTACAGGCATTTTTCACCACTTGTGGACCGCCTGCCCGCAATGTACTGCAGAAGAGCAGCTTGCACAAGCAAGCAACATGCCCATACATCGCAGCCTGTTTCTAGGTTTTGTCCACCTACTCCCGCTGCGATTTGTACACAACCAGAACCTGTCAGCAAATCCAAACCATTTATTCACGATGTGGATCTGCTGATGGGCTGTGTACAATCACAGCTCAGAGCTCTGTGTTGACATTCAACACATAGCTCTGTACAGAGGGAACAATCTCCCTCCCAAAGCAGGGATAAAAAACAAAGTGATCATTGGTAAAAAGCAGCACATAATACACACATTACATATCACCCTAGTTGTTAACCACTTCCCAGCCAGTGTCATTAGTACAGTGACAGTGTATAGTATTGTCACTGATCACTGTGTTAATGTCTCTGGTAATGTCAGTGGCAGTTTGTCAGTTCCCTCAGGTGTCAGTTAGTGTCAGATTTGACGCCGCACTATTGCAGTCCTGTTATAAGTCACTGATCACCGCCAATAGTAGTATTAAAAAAAATCCAGTATGTATACACCATGGTTTGTCAGCACTATACCCTTCCTGCAAACAAATCAATATACACCTATTGTTTTTTTGTTGTTGTTTTTTTTGTTTTTTTTATCAAAGACATGTAGCAGAACATATTTTGGCCAAAATTTATGAAGAAATTTGATTTTTAAAAATTTTTGTTATTGGATATGTTTTATAGCAGAAAGTAAAAAATATTGTTTTTTTTTTTTCAAAATGTTCAGCTTTTTTTGTTTATATCGCAAAAAATAAAAATTCCAGTGGTGATCAAATACCACCAAAAGAAAGCTCTATTTTTGTTTGCATTTAGCATTGCATGACCACACAATTACCAGTCAAAGTACTGCAGTGGCCTGGTCATGAAGGGGGAAAATCTTCGGGAGCTCAAGTAGTTAAATATCAATAACATTTTCCAAACAACTCACCTTGGTTTTCTTTTACTGTTTTGGACATATTGTTCCAACTAAGCCTCATTTACACTTGCAACACACATTAGAGCTTCAATTTTACCCCCCCTCACCAATATATCTCCCTTAGGCCGCAAGGGCATTGGATATGGGTGTGCACATGCCATAGCTGCAATGCTTTTTCATTGCAGCATGGCAAAAATTATTTTCCCTGTTGTGTTGGCAGGCACTACCACCCACCAAATGCAACTCATGCTGCTGAATAGGGCTGTGCTACAACCGCCCCAAAAAACCATGTGCAACTAATACAATGGTGGTGCAGTTCTTAAAGGTTTAAACTGGTGGTGAGGAAATGATATAACATCTCCTTGCCACCTGAAGAGCAAATTATCATGGATCACTTTCAGAAGGCTAGTTTGAAATACACTCACCGGCCACTTTTTTAGGTACACCTGTTCAATTGCTTGGTAACACAAATTGCTAATCAGCCAATCACATGGCAGCAACTCAGCATGGTGGCGTGGAGAGCGTGATGTGAGCGCTCTCTGCAAATCAGCCACTGCACCTCACTATGTGCCCGGAGATGCTGTCAAACAATCCCGTGGAGCCTTACCTGTAAATGCGGTTGACTGGGGGGAGCCGGTGAGTTCGGAGGTGTGAGGTGGGGACGGCCGGAGTGGAGGGCTGAGCGGTGACAGCAGTGGGTCAGCGGTGGTGTGCTTCCAGAGCAGAGGGTTGCCTGGAGACCGGAGTGTGGGGGCAACCATGTGACCTCCCACTGGAAGCACGAGGAGGAGGAGAAAGCCGGACGGTAGTCCCAGGCAGGGAGAAATGCCAGTTCTCCCACTGACTACACGGGAACTGTGCCATAAGGAGCTGGAACCAGCTGGGGTGAATCTCCTCCCCCAAAGGAAAAGGAGCAGCACAAGTGGAAAGAGGCTGTTTGAAATCGTAGCCCACTGAAGGAGAGCCTGAAGCCACCTCACATAAAGAGAGAAGAGGGCAGGAGGGTGAGTGAGGCAGGCATACCTGCATAACTACATTGTGCTGCACAAAATGAACTGACATACAAGGGAAATTAAGGAGAGAGACCACCCAGAGGAACTAGTTGAAAAAGAGAACACAGTTATATAGTACGGGTCCCCAGAAGAGAGAGAATTTAACCCCCCTGTCCTGAAAGGGACAATACGGACAGTAAAATTAGGCAATCCCCCCCAGAGCTTGGATAAGTGAAATAAGTCTCTGACGGCATGAAAAACAAAGTGGCCAAAGGAGGTGGGCCCAAAGTTCCCCAAACAGGTCCGATTAAAAAGTATATACCCTCACAGGGGAATCTGACTCCGGAAAGACAACAAGGAATGAGTGAAAGGAGTGAACTGGAAATCAGTATGGAAGATAGTCCTAGATTATCCCTGAGAACGGTCAACAGCAGTCAACAATGGAAAGAAAGACTGGAGGCGGTAGAACAAGAAAAGGAATTATTAATGCCAAATAAAAAAGAAATAGCAGAAATGTTTAAAAGCCTTGAAAAATCAATAAAACAAGAGATGGCGATAATACAGAAAGATCTGGGGCAAATGATATCTAGAGTGGAAGAAACGGAGGGAATAGTGAACAAACAAGCCCAAATTATTTTGAAACTAGAACAACGGATGGCAGAAATTAGAAAAGAACAAAGAAAAACTGCTATATAAGATAGAAGATCAAGAAAACAGGATTAGGAGATGTAGTCTAAGGATACGAGGAGTACCAGAGATTCCACACAAGGAGGACCTAATGGGTTCAATATGTAAAATGCTGAATAATTTAAGGGACAGATCTGCTTCAGAGACTCTTAAATTGGAACGTGTATACAGAATAGGAAAGTGGCAACAAGAAAGGGGTAAAGAGAAACTGAGGGATGTAATTGTGCAATTCCATAATTATGGGGATAAAGATAAGAGGAGAGTGGGGATTTAGGAAAAGGATAGGAGGAAATGGGAAGAATGGAAGAAATTCACTTTGCGACTTATAATGTTAACGGTTTGAACAGCCCTGGGAAGAGATTTAGGATATTTAAAGAGATTCAGCATAGATTGTCCTCAGTGGTTTTTGTACAGGAGACACATATAGGGCCAGAAACAAATGTGAAATTGAATTCCAGATATTATCCAATGTGGTTCTATGCAGATTCCCCAATTAGAAGAGCCAAAGGGGTCGCAAGAGGTTTTGCAAAAAAATATGTTTAAATTAGAAGGAAGTTTGGTAGACCCCGAAGGCAGATTTTTGTTTCTGAAGGAAAAACTACAAGAAATAGATTGCACATTAGCAAATATTTATTGCCCGAATAAAAAAACAGAGTTATTTCTTAAAAGATACTCTTAAAAATTATTGGATTTTAAAAAAGGTAGTTTAATTGTGGCAGGAGATTTCAATCTTTGCATGGATCCTCAGATAGACATGACGTCTCCTGTGTACTTTCTTCAGTAGATCTCTGAGATCCTTGAAAAAAATGATATATCAATGTCAGCTTGTGGATATATGGAGAATTAATCATATGAAGGACATAGATTATACGTTTTACTCACATGCACATGAGAAGTATTCAAGATTGGATTATATATTGCTGGAACATCGACTCCTTGAGTCTTTGGTCAAATTAAAAATAGAAGTGAT